CAAAATGTGAATCAGGAAGAGCTGCCTCCTCAAGTAGTGTTGACCATGATGATGCCAATGGAGTAAAGCTTTCAGCATCTTCAAATGCTGATGGGGCACAACTTAAAATGAGAAACAGCTACAGGTATCTATTAGTAATCAGAACATGGAATGACTGTATGAAGTATGAATTTAATAAAATTGGAAGTTGTCAAAAGTGAAATGGAACACAAAGTGAGATATACTATGCAAACTGGCACTGGCCAGTTTGAACTTGACAATCATATGGTTTACTATGCCAGGAATGACAAATTCAAGAGGAATGGCATAGCATCCATCATCAAAAAGAGCATTTCAAGATTGATCTTGAAGTATCTGAGATGGGATACTATCCAAACTCCTACAAGGAAGACAAGTTAATACCACTATTATTCAAATATAAACACTGACCACTAAACACAGTGATGTAGACCAATGAACTCTGGGAGCCTAGTAGATTATAAGCTGGGCTATTAACCGTGAGATCAGTAGTTCAAATCTACCAGTTTCTCTATGGAAGAAAGATGATGCTTTCTGCTTCTGTAATTATTTACAGCTTTAAAAACCCTATAGGGTCATTATGAGTTGGAATCTTCTCAGTGGCACACAACCACCTGCAACACCACAAGGAAGAACAGTTAATACCACTATTATTCAAATGTAAGCATGGACCACTAAAGATATTGATGATGGAATTGAAGAATTCTACCAAGTTCTTCAGCCTGAAATTGATCAAACCTGCAATCAAGATGTATTGATCATTACTGGTGATTGGAATGAGAAGGATGGACACAAAGAGAAAGGATCAGTAGTTGGAAAATATGGCTTTGGTGATAGAAATGATGTTGAAGATGGCATGAAAAAATTTTGTAAAACTAATAACTTATTCATGACAAATATCAGTTTTTTTAAAAAAACTTTTTACTGTGAATTGAATGAAAGCTTACAAACAAGATCATCAGCTTTACATTCAGCAAATTATACTCTTTGTTCCGTCTCAGTGATTACAATCCCCTCCCTGCAATAACAGTTACTCTACTTCCTCCCTGTGGTTCCCTTTCACATCTTATATTTCACAAGTAAATAAAGCAAAAATATTTGATGTACACTTATAAAACAAAAACTATATATTCATTTAAATGTCCAAAGAGCAAATTCTGCCAATCAGCCTCCCGCCTGCAGGCACACAGCTGTTCTCAGTTCATGGGTCTACAGCCCACAATTGTTCTGACTCTCCATGTCACCATCTTTGCCTCTGTCTCTGCTGTCACTGCTTTTCTAGGTAGGGATCTCATGGTCCACTCAGGTTCTTCTACACATTTCAAAACTTTGTGCATGTAACATAGAACCTTCCCTGGGGGTGTCTACTCATGCAATTCTCCCCTCGGATTACCACCACAGAGATGAGTAGACATAGCAAAAGAAAAGAGGTGATATGATCAAAAACAAAACACTCGCACCTCTGTTTATGCAGCTCACTGGCTGGTTTCAGCACTGGAAGCACTCTCTTTGTCCCTCTTTTCATTCACTCTTGTTCAAAATGGAAGCGGTGGAACATGATGGCTACATGTAATGAGAAATCAAATCCTTCTTGCTCCTGTTCCGATTCTTACTCACAGTAAGCACTCGAACAACTTGTTTATCACTTTATCTGAAGTTCAGAGTTCCGGGATGTTGCTCTGAATCTGTTTTGTATGGTTTTCTGTGCTTTCACTGACAGGGGTCTGTATGGCTTTTCTACCTAGTCTGCCATCAAGCCCCACACCCTCTTCTTTATTCTTATTGTCATGACACCCTTTCTCCTCCCATAGGTACCCATTATCTAATACCTTAGATTAATTTCACCTTTATACACTATATTTATTAATTTGTTTCTGGTTTCTTTCAATCTTTATAGATATGCACGTATTTATTATTGAGCCATGCAAAAGCAAATTGCCTACTTCACGGCATTTTACCCCTAAATATTCAATGGGAAGTTTGAATATTGTCAATCTGCCCAATGAATATTTAGTTTGCCCAATTGTGGTGGCTTGCATGTTGCTGTGATTCTGGAAACTAAGCCACCGGTATTTTAAATACCAGCAGAATCGCTCATGGTGGACAGGTTTCAACTGAGCTTCCAGATGAAGACAGACTAGAAAGAAGGAGAGACGTACTACTTCCAAATATTTAAGTCACTGAAAACAGCACCAGAATATTGACTATTGAAACATGATGAAGAGTACCAGAATATTGTCAGATATAGTGCCAGAAGATGAGCCCCTCATGTTGGAAGGTAATCAAAATATGATTGAGGAAATGATGCCTCCTAAGAGTAGAGTTTACTGTATGAGACAAATGGATTAAAGTCTTTGGGGCCTTCATGTGCTGATTGGGCACAACTCAAAATGAAGAGAAACCATTCATGATCAGAACATGGAATGTACGAAGAAAGAATCTATGAAAATTGTCAAAAATGAAATGGAACACATTGACATCCTAGGCATTATTGAGCTAAAATGGACTGGTACTGGCCATTTTGAACCTAACAACCACATGGTTTACTATGCCAGGAATGACAAATTGAAGAAGAATGGCATAGCATTCATCATCAAAAAGAATATATTAAGATCTGTCTTGAAGACCAATGCTGTCTGTGATTGGATAATACACAGACAAGAAAGACAAGTTAATACCATAACTATTCATATTTATGCATCAATCACTAGAGCCAGTGATGATGGAATTGAAGAATTCTCCTCTGGTAGTGTGATGGTTACGAATTGGGCTGCTAACCTCAAGGGCAGCAGTTCGAAACTGCCAGCAGTTCCATGGGAGAAAGATGAGGCTTTCTGCTCCCGTAAAGATTTACAGCCTTGGAAACCCTGTACAGGGTCGTTATGAGTTGGAACTAACTCCATGGCACATAACAACAACAATTATTGGTGGGTATAATTCTGGAAAAAAAAAATTGCACCATATTTTTCAAGGGCCCAAGAAAAGAAATGAGTTAGAAATTGCTAAATGTATTGAAAAATGATTTATTTTTCCCTTGGCAGTGTCTTCAGGACTTGACTCAAGATTGAAAACTCTTACAGGCACATTTTCATCTGTGAGTGTCAGCTGTTTGGTACACCATCCTCTTGAAGGCCCTGGTTAACTCTCCCTTTTACCTGAACAAACTGCATTCTAACAGAAATGATGCAGAGCCTTGGTCTTTAGGGATAAACACTCTCATGAAACTATTACTATTGAATAATAGTTTAAGAAAATTGTTTTCATTTGTTTAAATGGTATGCTAATAGCAGTTGTTTAAAAACAAATCACTGTAAAAATCTGTAGCAACAAATTTTTTACAAAAAGTCTATAGTATCTTTTACCAATAGAGCAAATTCCACAGCTGTAAATTAACTCATTCAAGAGCTAGATTTTAATTTCAACAATGCTAGCGAGGCTAGTTATTAGAGAAAATCAGAAAAGTTCCCCATATAGCCTGTTTCCTGTCCACAATAATAAATAAATGGTCAATAGGATGCTCAAGTTTACTGTCAGTGCAACGTTCTTCAAATAGGAAGGAATTGTCAGAAGCCAGACTTGGGTGAACGAAGAACAGGAGAGCAGATATTGACATTCAGATAAAGCCTCAACTGAGAGGCTTTCAACAGTCCCCTTTGCATTTGGTTGACACCCACAGACAACCTGGCATTTTAGGCATTTCTATGTGTTCAAGTGTACCTTGTAGTTAATGTTATGTGTTGGAGCAATTTGCCACTGTCAACTCCTTGTATTTAAGATACACCAATATTAGAAACGCTAGAGGAAAGTTTAGCAGCAGCCCTATCTGTTATTAATGCTAGTTACACAGAACAGAGCCTGGCATTCTCCCACCTTTCCAAATAGCTGCTTCTCTACACCTGAACCTCAGTACAATTGAGAGCCAGCCTCTTTCCTGGGCTGATCCATTACAATGAGCCACCGTTACAGGGGAGTTCTGAGTCATTAACATTCTGTTCATAGTCAAGTTTCACTGTTCCCCAAGAAAGAGTTATTATGCTCAGGCCTCCTCCAGCGCAATTCTTGCTTTAAAGAGAAAATGTGTATTTCAGAGTTTGAAAGAACCTTCTGAATATACTCCTCAGGTGTTTTAAGGAGTTATTACAATAGGTCCTGATCCCCGTGCTGATGGGAGCATCCTTGGACAGCCTCATTGAGATGTTGGTTGTGCTGCAGAGACAAGCTGACTACTAAATATAACCCTTTGCTGTAAGGCCAAGGCAAACAGCTGCATTGCCTTGGACTTCTTGCCCAATCAAAAATCATATAGCAAACCCATCCTCATCTCTCCCCAGGGCTCCTGACTGTATCTATGGAATATAAGCCCTGCACGTTGGAAGAAGGGTGCAAAGGAACAGGATTCTTGCAAAGCATAACAGAGAAAGCTAGAAATAAATGTTGCCTATTGTTTGAAGTCATTCTAAGCACTCCGGCAGAGCCCTGGCAGGAGATCAGCAGCATACATAAGTAGTAATAAAAGTAAACAGTGCACTTTTAAATTCTCAGGCGTGCCTGCATTAATAGTGCCCCATTGTAGTGGGATGAGGGCAGTTGGGAAGATAGCTGGAGATTCATGAACCAGGATTTGAGAGAGGCTGCTTCTCAGTGCCCTTCCTCATGAACAAATATAAGAAGCACTACAAAGTTACATAGAACTACCCAGAGAATTTGCAAATAAAATCTCTTTAAATCCACCCAAAAGATATTTTCAAGTCTCTCTGTGAGGCTCCCCTGCTCTGTCACAGACTTCAAAAGCACGTTAGTTAAAAAAACAAAACAAAAACAAAAGACACAATGCTATCAAGCTACAGATTAATGCAAATTCAATTAATGCAAATTTAAGTGGTATTTAAAGATTGTCTCTTTGTCTGAGAGGAGGATGAAATGCTCGGTTTGGAAAGAAGTAATTTCCTAGGCAAGTCGTCAGCGCTTGTTTTCCTGCTTACCTTGGGGGAAACGCAGGGCTCCTTTCTTCTCAGACTTTTCTGAGAGCTAGAAAGAGGTCCTGTTACTTCCAAATGCTTTTGTTCTTCTGTCCCTCTGTCACATGGCTTGCCTTTTATATTTGCAACACACAAAAGTTAGGACTGTTGTTTAAGCGACACAGGGAGGGAGAGAGGGAGAGAGAGAGAGGGAGAGAGAGAGAGAATGTCAAATGGAAAAGTGCCATTGCAGTCATATATCAATCAGGCGAGCGGCCACAGCAGTGCGCAAGCAAATGGGAATACCACGGAAATTCGAAGCGCTAGTTATCGGGACGCAAGCCGCTGCCCACCACTCGGCTGCCTTCCACCGAGCATCTTATGATGGTAACGACCCAGAAGAATAAGGGCAAGAGTTTCCCTCTATTTTTTGGGGGTGGGTGGGCGGTGGATTATGGAAAGAATCAGGGCTAAATGAATATTATGAATTTAATTCTTTTGCAAACATGTGGCTGCCATCAAAATGTGCAGTCCGAAATAAGACACGTAGTTTGGGAAATATCAAGACGATGGATTGTCATGCCATTTAACCATTCAGCAGCTGACTGTGATGAAGTTGAAATTCTAAGGAGGAGAGAGATGAGAAACAGATATTTCTCAGTCAGTGCTATTGAACCAAAACACTGCCCTCTTTTAGCAAGATGTAGGTGGGTGGTGATTTTTTTTTTTTTTCTAAGTTGTTCATCCATTAATTTATTTTTTAGCATTATGTTGTTGTTTAGTGCCATAGTGGCCCTGTATAGGATTTCTGAAATTGTAAATGTTTGCAGGAGCAGACAACCTCCTCTTTCTATCCATGATTAAAGCCCCAGGAGTGCTGGTGAGGCGCTGTGGGCTAATGTGTCAGACTGCAAAATCATTTGAACTGCAAGGTCGGTTGTTCAAGCTCACCAGCTGCTCCTTGGAAACTCTATACAGGGTCACTATGGGTCGGAATCAACTCAAAGGCACTTCACAACAACAACAAAGCAATCCAATGAGCACCTTCATCTGTGTATTTAGAATAAACATTTAGATATGATTTAGAAACAGCGACAAAGTGTGGTCCTCAACTACTTGACATACATGAGTGTGGAACTAGCAGGAAAGGCCCCATCACAACTAGTTGGAAAGTGATAAAGGTAATGTTCTTGTGGGGTCAATGTCTGCTAGCTACGAGTTATGGGAATAAAAATGGAAGGATTTCATAATTCTAGCCCTTAAAAAGCTTAAAATTAAGACAGAAACCATTATTAATTTTTATTGACCCATTTGTAAAATGTTTATGCCTAATAGACCCAGACCCAGAATATTTTTTTATTAACATTTATTAAGAATTAGGGCTTCTGATGGCGCTGTAGGATAAAAACTGGACTGCTAACTGAAAGATCAGTGGTTCAAACCCACCAGACACTCCTCAGAAACCCTATGCAGGGTTGTTCTGAGTGAGAACCGACTCAACAGCAATTTACAATAACAAATTAAGAAATAAACTGAGGACATAAAAATTAGCATTTCATGGAAAAGTGAATGAATCATAAAACTTAAGAAATTTCTCTTGGGAGCTCCATAATTGTTAATATAGAAACTGCTGTGTTCCATTGTATCAGTTTATTTACATAGGTTGTTGTTGTTGTTAAGTCCTGTGGCTTTAGTTCCCATTCATAAGGACCCTATTTGGGTTTCTGAGGCGGCTGGTGAGCTTGAACAGCTGACCTTGCGGTTCAAACTGAATTTGCAGCGCAGCGCATTAACCTGCAGTACCACATAAGTGCATTATTACTTTTTCTAGAACTTTTACTCCAAGCAGTCTAAGATTATCAGTTTTACTTCCACCCTATAATGAGAAGTCTATTTTCTTTTGCTCTACTAGGAAACTCCTGTCTGCCTTGAACCAACTAGTCACAAACAGAATCCACTAACAAGGATAAATACATTGGTTCAAAGCCTTGAACGAAAACTTGGCACTTGACCAATGATGATATTGGCTAAAAGTCTTAAAAGCAGAAGATCAGAAACCAAATGGAAATTGGACCTTAAAAATGGAAATAATATGAAAGGGGAAATGACTTGTAGCTAGCTGAGTAAGAGCCTTGGAAACAGTCATGCACACATTTTCTGGCTCAATTCGGTGGGTCAAATTTGAAGTGAGTATAAAATCTTTGGAGACCAACATTTTCACATATCAGAGCTTGATGTCTGCCCACCTTTTCTTCTCACTTAATGGAAAATTTTTGGCTTTCTTAACCTATGTTCACCATGTTCCCTGCCATCTTCCTCCTTTTGGTTCTCAGAGACATCCTATCGTCTCTGAAGTAACGTGAAAAGGTGCAGTTCTTCCTGGTTGGAATTTTCCAGTCTGCTACCATCTGCTCTTCTAAACGCACACAGAAAATGTGAAGATTGAAGACCATACTGACTCCCTGTCCAGAGAAGACAGGTTCCCTCCCAAAGAGAACCCCATTGCTTCCTCTAGCCAAGGATAATGAAGAAAGAATGCCATCTGTTGCCCCTTTTTAAGAGGGGAACTTTCTCTCAACCCATTGGGCTTCAAAAGACTCATTTCTAAGCCTGTCAATAGGTATCTGGTAATAGCAACACATTTCATCACAGTCACCTTGATTTTTAGAAAGACCACAGTGCCATGGGCAGTTGTTTTACTGGCATCCTTAATGCTGTTGAGAAGAGGGGGAAAAAAGCTGCCATCTAGTCAATTTTGACTTAAGGGCTCCCTTTAATTTTCATAAAGAAGGACAAAAATGTTATTGTCATTTGTTGTCATTGAATCAGCTGACTCGTGGTGAACACATGCGCAACAAAATGAAATGTTGTCCCATCCTGCATTATCTCTCACCATCTGGTGAGCTTGAGTCCATTGTTTTGGCCACTGTGTATTTTGAGTGGATTCTAACTTAGGCATCTCATTTTCTAGGTCTATATCAGACAGCATTTTATTGTGATCCATAAAATTTTCAAATGGATAATTTTCAGAAGTAGATCACCAGGTCTTACAGGTCTGTCTCAGTCTAGAAGTTCCTCTGAAACCTGTCCACCTTGGGTGAGCCTGCTGGTACATGAAATACAGTGGCATAGCTTCCAGCATCAGAGCAACAAGCAAGACACCATAGTACAGTAAACTGGCAGATGGTGGCGATGAAAATACCCTGCTGTTACTTCATCTACAATGGAATCGTTTGAAGAATGAGACACCTTTTCACTGGGCAGGCAATCCTTTAAAGGACCCCTTTGGATTCTTTGATTTCTGGTCCAAGTTTTAGGTTGCATCTTTCTTTCTTTGTATCTCTAATGAACATTTACAGAAGCCACCCAGCATCCAAAAACCTCTGGGGGTGGAATGGAATGGGAAGTCTCAAAGCAGATGGGAGGAAGGACCTGCCTACTCGGCAGAACCTTAAGGGAGTAAGTGCTTCCTCTGTCCTAATCAGGGCAACTGGAGCCAGGAGCCAGGTGTGACTAAGCCTGGCTTCCTAGATGTGCCAGCCTGGAGGAGTGGCCACGGCATGCAGACATTTTAAGATTATATGATGTCCTACTGGAATGAAGAGCCCAGTGGCTGCAGCAGCTGGTGTCCAGAGGCAACAGAGTCCAGAAATGTGATGGTGGATGTCCTGGAAACACAGGACCCATGGTGGCATCCTTAGCAGTGTGGTCTCCTGGATGCATTTAAGATTGCCACCATTATATGAAACTGGATCTCTAGTTTTCCTGGTGATTTTGTGAACCACCCCCACCTCTCAGCCCTGCCAAAATCTGGCCAATAAATTCTTTTCCACTGTAATTAGCTAGAGACAGTTTCTGAGGTTGGCAACCATGAGTCCTGACCTGAACACTTTTTCCAAATTCAGGCAAATTAACATCATTAACAAATGAATGGAAATGTAGCCTCCACCTACTTCTAGTTACTCTTCCTGAACAAATGGATCAGACTCATTGTCAGGAGACTGTAGTCTTTGCTATAATGTTTCAAAAGCAGAAAATGCCTCTGTGGGCATATAATATGGTGCAATAGGATAAACACTCGACCTCAAGTTCAGTTTGAACTGCAAGATCGGCGATTCAAACTCATCAGCCGTTCCTTAGAAACCCTATACAGTGTTGCTATGAGTTGGAATTGACTGCACAGCATTTAACAACAACAACAACCACGTGATTCTTAAGGAGTTACAGACAGTTAAGAACTATAGCCTTCAATTTTTCAGTTACCAACCAGCATGTGAACAGTTTGTACCACCCAGAGACTCTATTAATAATAATAATAATAATGCTGTTGTTGTTAGGTCCATTCTAACTCACGGCAACCTTATGCATAACAGAACATGTGCCATCCTCACAATTGTTGTTATGTTTGAGTCCATTGTTGTTGTCAATCCATCTTGTGAGTTTTCCTCTTTTTTGTTGAACCTCCACTTTTTCATGATGTTCTTCTTTAGGGACTGGTCCCTTCTAACATGTCCAAAGTATGAGAGACAAAGTCTTGCCATCCTTGCTTCTAAGGAGCACTCTGTTTGTTCTTTTGTCATCCCATGGTACGTTCAATATTCTTCTATAACACCATAATTCACATACATTTATTCTAGAGTTTTCCTAACTCACTGCCCAACTTTCATATGCATATGCGGAAATTGAAAATACCATGGCTTGAGCCAGGCCCACCCTGGTCCTCAAAGTGGCATCCTTTGGTTTGAACACTTTAAAGAGGTCTTTTGTAGCAGATTAGCATATATGCAATACATCATTTGATTGTTTGACTGCTGCTTCCATGAGTGTTGGTTGTGGATCCAAGTAAAATGAAATATTTGACACTTTCAATGCTTTCTCAGATTAATATGATGTTTTTTATTGTCCCAGTTATGAAGATTTAATTTTCTTTACATTGAGGAGAAATCCATAATAAGGCTTTGATCTTCGTGAGTAAACATTTCAAGTCGTTAATGAGTCTTCCTCCAATTCTGATACCACATTCTTTTTCATATAACCCAGATTTTTGGATTATTTGCTCAGCATACAGATTGAGTAAGTAAGGTGAAAGGATACAACCTGGTGCACATCTTTCTTGATTTAAAACCATTCAGTAGCCCCTTGTTTTGTTTGAACCAATGCTTCTTGCTCTGTGT